AAGGCAACCGTCATCTCACCTTTACACTCAAGGACACCAATTACTCTAAGACCATAACCATCACTACCATCAACACACACTTATGTGGGGACAAAACGATCAGTCTCCAAAGTACTGAAACAAAAGAAAAACATTTATTTCCAGGTTTAGGAGCTCATTAAAGACAAGCAGCAATTTGAAAGTGAAAATAATGGCATAATGGCATTTACTGCAAGCATTGCTGACTCATCATCTGCAACCCACAGGCTGTTAAGCTTTATGTAAGAGGTCCTAAAGTGCCACCGCCAACTAAAACACATTAAACATGATCAATATTAAAAGTCAACTAGATCTGAATATCATTTGTGTCCATAGCTCGAGAAGTGCAAGAAATCTCAAACCCCAGAGTATGAGAATTGAAACAGTAATGCATGCCTTAATAAACAACACTAATAGCCGTTTTTCAATCAGCTTCATTTAGGAACAGATCTCACACAGTAAGACACATTGTGTGGTACATCTGGAATAGTGAAAATCAAAATCTGCATTACATCAGTAGAAATCTGTCTGTTCCAGTCAGGCACAAATCAGTAGAGCCCGACCGATATATCGGCGGGGCGATATTATCGGCCGATATTAGGCATTTTCCTAACTATCGGTATCGGCATTTATAATGGCCGATAAATGAATATTTTAAAAAATGCGGGTGCGGTGATTCATGTAAGGGTGGCGCTGCCAATAAAGCACATAAAAGCTGTCACAAAGAACTGGCAAAAGTAATGATTGTGAGTACATCAAATATAGCAAGGAGACGTTTTAATTGTTTATTACGATTAGATTAAGATTATCTATTGTCTGCTATATTTACTTCTTACTTATTAAATCCAGGCAATTGGTTGATGAAACATTGATTAAAATTAAGATACAATTAATATAAAACGAAATTCACTTTAATGAAAGGGTTTGTGCTTTCTGTTTGAGGCCTCTGTGAAAGTTTTAAAGCACTTTAGTGCCGCTTTCAGAGCTTGTCAGTCCGTAACATTGTTTTTTCCTCATAAATGCGAACACGAAAAATAAAATAAAACGAATATTTTATGTTCTGTTGAGAGCCAACCCTTCTTCATCCGGTGGGTAGTAGCCTATTACTTTTGATTTGCGCAGTGTAATTCACAGAATTGATTTCTCTGCTACCACCCTCTGTCACGTATTGTGTGAGCTTGTGACTATTGCAAGCGCGCAGCTGAGAAGTCCTGATTATATTGTCTGCTATATTTACTTCTTTATTAAATCCAGGCAATTGGTTGATGAAACATTGATTAAAATGCATTGCGCGAGCGACAAATCTCCGACAGTAAACTGATGCCCCACTCTGCTTTGTAAAAATTTTCGCATCTAGGGTAAACAGCTGTTGCGACACGAGCAATAACGGCCGCGTCCGGTGTAGACAGTGTTAAAGCTCATTCTGCCTATAACGCTTACAACATCAAGCAATATTCCAATAATTTATATAATTATAACACTTTGTTTCATGTTTACATTTTGCTTACTACTTATTTAAAATAGTATAAAAGTACTGTACATATGTAATTAAAAACGTTTTCATTATGATATTATTAATTTTACTTTAGTAAAAAGATCTGAGTTCTTCCTCCACTGGTAGAGATTAGAGGAATTAAGACTAAAAATAGAAGATAATAAGGTTTTGACAGTGACACTTTTGATATATTTATTGATACAAGTTATGTTTATAACTGACTAAATTAAAAGACAAAGTCGTTAGTGAAGATTATGCAACAGTATTTAGAACAGCCTTTCTCAAACTTTTTTCAGTCAGGGCACCTTTCAAAAGTGCATAAAATCTCAAGGCACCCCAGTGTAAAATATAATTTAAAAACACTGCATAACCCAAATGTAAATGCAAATGTCCTGTTTATTTAGACAGAACAGTAATGAACAGAGCATAATACGAACTGTAAATAACAATAACAATAATAATAACAATTTTATAGCACCTTTTGGTATATTGTGGTCAATAAAAAAAATTATTTGCTTATAATTAACATGACAATGTGTACAAAACTAAAGTGGCCTAAATTCACGTTTATTTTTACGTTTCTGTCAGTCTGAGGTGTTGTTGCTATAACGCGTTGCTATGGGTTGCCGCTGCGTCACTTGCGTCAAGTTGTGTGTGTGTCTTGCTTCGGTCTTGACTCTTGTGAGACGGATTTTTATGGTTAATTTTATATATTTTTTATATTTATTTATATTTATATTTTTATATTTTCTGCACTATAAGGCGCACTTAAAAGCCTTTAATTTTCTCAAAAAACGACAGTGCGCCTTATGATCCGGAGCGCCTTATACATGGATGGTGAACACACGTTCACCAAGACGGGGAGACAGCGCCGGGCGACTTACGCCACTATCTGCCAATGGATCGTGGATGCCTGGGCTGATATATCAGTCTCAACTGTGATCCGAGCTTTCACGAAGGCAGGAATAATCTCTTTATCCTGTTTTCGGTCGAAGTCCACAATAGTTGATTGTCGAGTTCGCGCGCGCGATCAAACCTCCTCCGTGTGTTCAACATCTGATTCGGATGAACTATCCATTTGAGCTGATATTCTCAGAACACCACACAGCACCGTCATCGGCTGACAGCTGACAGTCTGAGTCTCCACTGTTGCTTAGTTACCAATGATCGCGCGCGCACACTCGACAATCGCCTACTGTGGACTTCGACCGAAACAGGAAGAAAATACGGGTATGTGAGCTGGCTGAATAAACATCATTTTTATTCATATCTTTCACATTTACTGCAGTCAGATTCACCGTGTTCACTCACATGGCTGTGCACTTGTAATGACACATTGAGGTTGTTAAGAGGCTAAAAGCAGGTTTAAAACTTGCCCCGTTTAAGTCAACAGGGTGCAAATTTTAAAAAGAGGATAACACGGTGTAGGCAACATCGTTTTTTTACCGTATATATTTTCGTATATATTTATCTAAAATGAATTTACAATTTTATTAATACGTTCATATGTTTAAAAAGAAGAAGAATGTATTTATGTAAATATATTTATATATGAAATAACAGATTATTTTTAGATTTTTTTTTTTTAGCCTACGTAATTTTTTGGCGGCACCCCTGACACAGTCAGGGGGCACCCCAGTGTGCCGCGGCACCCACTTTGAGAAAGGCTGATTTAGAATATAATATAACATGCAATGCAAACTAGTTTGGTTACAGCTCAAATGTATCATTCTCATTCTATCACTTACCCTGTCTCCATTACATATCTTTGTCACACAAGTGTTTGATCACCACATTTGAGTGATCATTGCAAAACGTGTATATATTTATTCTGTTTATACTGTGTATTCTATATACAGTACCCATCAAAAGTTTGTACACCAATAGGAAAGTGTGTCCAAACTTTTTACAGGTACTGTACTAGGGATGTCACGGTACCAAAATTCCAGTAGTCGGTACCGATACCATTAAAATTTTACGGTTCTCGGTACCAATTTCGGTACCACAGCAAAATCAGTTTGAACTATTTTTCCAATTTATTTAACTATTTGAAAAAAAATATTAAATTAAATTCAATTACTATATTATTTATGACGGTAAATTTATGAAAGCATTGAAGGCTACATGCTGTTTAAACGAAAATATTGATGATATTGAGAAATATTGCTTGTAAAAAAATCAAGTGAAAAATAAGCAACCTTTTATGCACACATTATTATTATTATTAGTAGTAGTATTTTTAATTAATGGAGACGTAGTTAAATCTATTGTACAGTAGCCTAATATAATTATTTCTGTCAATTTCTTTAAGTTAAACCGAACTTTTATCTTGACGGGTTGCCGTGAAGACCTTTGAGTTTCTGTGCGTGTATGATATGACGATAGTTTTTCTCAAATGAAACGGTAAAATGCTCATGAAGTGACTCTCGGAGATGAATTGAATCATAAATCATGTCATCATATCGTGAGGAAGCAGAGACTGAAAACAGCGCGAGCGTCACTCGTGCTTCAGTGTGTGTGTGTGTGTGTGTGAGGTAACGTTAAATGAAACCGCGCATCTGCGCCGTTCATTCACACAGAGACAAGCAGAACATGCAGGGTTAAAATTTAAATAGTCTTTTTGCAGTTTAATATACACATACACCACATCAGCAGCGCCGCCGGTCGCCATGTCTCAGCGGTTTCATGAAGAGGACGCAACTTCACGCCCTTCGTGCATGCATGCGCGTCCAGAACCGGGTTTGACCGGGTACTCGGTACCGTGACGTTTAAAATTTTTAAGTACCGACTTGGTACCGAAGTACCGAATATTTTGACAACACTATACTGTACTATAATACATATAATATTGCTACTGTATTATAATATACACATAAATAATATCGGCCGATATATATCGGTATCTGGGTTTTTTTATCGGTATCGGCCCCCAAAAATCCATATCGGTCGGGCTCTACAAATCAGCCAGTGGCTATTACTTTCTCATCCAAAACTGCAACCCATTTTCAAAAGCTGATAATTATACCTGTGGAGACCTCAGTTAGATTCAAATTGCAACAGATTAAATAGGCCAAAACTGTTCAATTTATAAAGCAATGTGAAGTAATTTACTGAGAGGGAGAAGATGTCTGTTCATCTCTCACCAAAGCACGACCATGAGAGAATCTAACAAGGAGTTGCAAAAATTCTGAGTTGGGCTGCTCGACTACCAAAAAAATCCTAATAGCAATTGATTTGGTCTGTACTGTAATCAAGATTATTTAACACAATCATGAGTGGGCAGTATGACCAAAACATTATGCGAGTAATTTATTTCACAATAGCAATATAGCAATAGCATCAAGTCGGCATTATCTTGATTATAGCTTTTTTATAATCGTTGGAAACCAAAATCGAAATGAAATGTGCTTAAATCGCACAGCCCTAATTTTTAAAACTAGCAAGCACAATATACCTTTTAAAGCATGCAAACACACACTCCTCTTACCTCTCTGATTTTGTCCCTCTTTTCCTTAGTGTCAGGATCCCCTGGGTCACCATCGTTGACCCCTACCAGTTTGGGCATGGGTACTGGAGGCAGTGGTTTGGGACCGTCTTTCTTTTTCAAGTCCTCAGCTACCTTGGTCTTCTCTGTTTGGATCTCAGCCTTCAGCTCCTCTTTGGATTTGCGGAGCTTTTCCTTGGCTTCCTGCAGTGCCCGCTCATGATCTGCCCGGATCTTGTCACGAAGACTCTCCTCTTCCTCCCTGCAGATGCACAATGAAATATATAAGAGTTACTTTACTTACAGTTTATTGTTACTAATATAGGAGGTGGAACATTTATATTTCATTAATATACTATTTATTTGATATAATTTGATTAATATTATATAATTGATTATTTTCATATTATATAAATTGTTAATGTAATTATACATGTATAAATGTATACTATGCATTAAACTGCCCGTTTACAAATTTAAAGTTTAGGATCTATAAGATTTATTTTAATCTTTTTTTTAAAAGAAATAAATACTTATTTTCAACACTATACTCTGTGTACAGGGGCAGTCGTGGCCTAACGGTTAGAGAGTCAGACTTGTAACCTGAAGGTTCGATCGGCAGGGAGTGAAGGAACAGCGCTCTCTTCCACCCTCAATACTCACGACTGAGGTGCCCTTGAGCACCTAACCCCCAATCGCTCCGCATCAAAAATGGCTGCCCACTGCTTGGGGTGTGTGTTTGTGTTCACTACTTACTGCTACTAATGTGTGTGCCAGCAGCCATATCACCCTGTAGCCCAAGAATGGTTGCCCACTGAAGCTAAGCAGGGCTGAGCCTGGTCAGTACCTGGAAAGGAGACCTTCTGGGAAACCAAGGTTGCTGCTGGAAGAGGTGTTAGTGAGGCCAGCAGCTCACCCTGTGGTCTGTGTGGGTCCTAACGCCCCAGAGTAGTGATGGGGACACACAATACTGTCAAAGAGCACCGTCCTTCAGATGAAACGTTAAACCGAGGTCCTGACTCTCTGTGGTTTCGAAACGAGAAGGGGCCTTCACGTCACTTTATATGTACTCCACCCAGAGTACACTAACAACAAACCTGATTTATAATCAAACAATTGGAACTCATTCACAGAGTTTTTCGCAATAAAATTGTATTAACAGAAACTACGTGTTACAACAATATTATTGTTTTCTTTAGCATGTATTAATTAAGAGCAATTATGGGGTGGAGTGTGGGAGAATGCACAGGAGACTCATAAGCTGCAAGGTAACATAATAACGCCCCACACACCCACAGGGTGGAGACAAGATTTTTAGGTCTTGTGAATCAATGAAGCACACCAAACTAAAGAAAGAGCAGAAGGGGATTGCAAGGAAAAGAGGTCAGATGGATACAGTGACACAGACAGTGATATGCCGGGGCGACGCAGGTCATCTCAGACTGGTTCATTCATTGTTACAGCCTGGAAACGTTCGCCAGGTGACAGCGAGACGTTTTGTCATTCTTCCCCACCCAGTCTCGCTGTCTCCTGGTATCTTCTAAACTATAATGGCTTAACAATCATTTGAATGCATTACTTACAATATATATCGACAATCTTTACCCACTATTTTGCATCAAAGTACTTAATTAGCTTAAGAAATACATGCGACTGACACTAACGTTGTCGTACCAGAGCATAAAAGCTGCAATTACAGTAAAGTGAGTGCTGATGTGAGCATTTCTAATGCGGGGGTTAAATGGCTAGTCTGCAAACAGGGACATGCGCGAGTTGGAAAAATGTGGGCACTAATGGCCCCTTGCGAGGGACATGAGAGCAAAGGGTCTCACTAATGACAGTAAACACCAATAAAACTCTGCACTGCATTAGAGTACAGACATCTATAGTCTATGGTAACGCTCCATTATAATGGATTCACCTACAAATCTCAGCCTGCAACCATTCGCTCCCACTCACATTATTCTTTTGGCTTTTTTTTTTTTTTTGCCCTGCAGTCTCTCTCTATTTTTGAAAGGCTTTCTCAAAGCTGCGGTAGAGTCTAGGTGATTTCATGGAAGGCTCATAATGTCAAACATGCAATTAGAAGCATGTCAAAATTAGTTTGAATCAATTACCCCAACTGAGACAAAGTCAGTCCAGGGTAAATCAAAGTGTGGCTGAATTAACATGTTTAGATCAATCCATTCCGTATGCTACTACTTTTCATCAGCAATTCCATTATTTACAGGCATTATGTGAACCCACCTACATCATTCCTAAAAGCTCTAGGTGGAATATTCTTTGAAATGTAATGTCATTACATAAGCTCCCTGTAAGAGAGTTAACATCAAGAAAACCTTAAAGAAACACCATTTTGACATATTTAATCTATAATGATTAATGAATCTAACTAATGATGCATGAATACAGGGATTGTCTGAAAATGTCTAAATAAATGGTTTTTTTGGTTTTAAATCCATACTTTTTGATCTCATTACTGTACCGTTGCTTCTATTGCTTCTACTCCTCATTTGTAAGTTGCTTTGGATAAAAGCGTCTGCTAAATGATTAAATGTAAATGTAAACGGATACAGCAAGATGGTGTTGTTGTATAATGGATGTTAGATAGCACTGCCATGCCAATAGAACACTGGTAAATTCAGCAGAGCTTGCCATTGTGAACAGATAAGCGCTTATTATATTACACCCACCATGAGCAGGTGTTAAGATGCTCAGCTTCCATCAGTTTTGTGCGCTCAACACTATCTACCATCAACCTACCCACGCATCCACCTTCAAACCTCAGCTTCTTCACAAGTCAAAGCTTATCGTGGAAGTACACCAAACACCGTCTATAGCAGAATGGGTCCAGAAGCACTTTTGGAGCCATTATCCCCCCATGTGTGGCTCTAGGTATAAAGCAGGTTTTCATTCTGGTACAGCAGATTAATTCTGTACGCCTCAGGAGACCCAATCTATCTCAGACAGACCCATTCCTCAGCCCCATCATTAGGCTTTGATCAGGATTCATTTTCTGCCTTGCTCACATACAGAGACAGAAAAGAGATAGCCTAAAGACAGCGAGAAATGCAAAGAGAATGAAGAAACACCTATAGAAATCTGAAGCATCAAGGACAGCTTGAAGTATTCAGCTGTGTTATTGAGGAATAAGAGGAACACACTGCTTAACTCGCCCACTGATAAATACTGTATACATGTGCTTTTCATTAGTATTTAGTGTAGTACAGTGCCTGCAAATGTTTATGTGAACGTACTTGCACACGATTCCCTTGAGAACTGAGCTCATTTTCAACAAAATACCACCAACACCTGCGAAGCCACGTGGCTGCTGGCCCATTTCGTAGAAACTAGAAAATAAGGTCAGCAACTCATATTTCCAATATAGAGTTCAGGAAGGGCCTTCTTCCTCACCCTCCCCATCATCCATCACTTTCTAGCCCCATCTTGCCTTTCAAGAGTTCAAAGATACAGCGCTGTGTGGTGGTTTCTTTCTGTATCACTCTCAGCCTGAAGCTGCTCTGGGGAATAACAGCCTCCTGGTATCAAATGATGCATACAGGTCTGACTACAGCCTTTAAGTGGACAGCACTTGAGCGAAGCCTCTCTTTATTCCTTCCTACATTTTTCATGTCTCTTTTTAAAAACAAATCTCTTATCTGACTTCCATCCCTGTCCTATTTGATGTAAAGCTGCCTCATGAGGATGGACAGCTGTGTGCAATGGACTCTGTCTTTTTTAATTACTTCAGTCATGAAAAACAAACCAGGAGCGATATCAACCATGATTTGTAATGTTGACTCATTTTATCAGACAAAAATGTAGACATTTGTACAAAAAATTGGATTAAAGATTCTAACTTTTTTACTTTTGAGATGATAAATGAATTAAATGTGCACCCGTGAGGTCATGTGAAAAAGTAGCATACTTGTATTTGAAATGTTCATCTTAGCATAGATGTAGGCACTGGCAGTATAGTTCAGTAGTTTTATAGACTTAATACATCCCAGAAAAACGAATCGGTTACCTAACGTAACCTCGGTTCTCTCTAGAAGAGGGAACGAGTATTGCGTAAGCTAGCTTACGCTGCGGGAAAGATTCATCTTTGCTGAGATATTGAAGCCAAAAAATTATTTCATAATTTTGTATCCATACACAACGCAGTTCCTCTGCGGCAGACCTAGAGCGGGCTAGCTAGCAGCTCATTGGTTCGCTCAGAGAGAACTGCTTAAGCCTATGGGAGAGCGGGGCTGAACCCGCTTCCAATGAGAGGCGCCCGCGCGCTCATTGCGTCATGACCCGCCAGAATGGGCGTGGCCATGGTGTATATAAGGAGCTCTCCCAGGCTTATATGTTGATTTATTTCAGCGTGAAGCGAAACGCTAGTAGCGCAAGCACGGCCGGGAACGCAATACTCGTTCCCTCTTCTAGAGAGAACCGAGGTTACGTTAGGTAACCGATTCGTTCTCTTACGAGAGGTTCTCTCGTATTGCGTAAGCTAGCTTACGCTGCGGGAACACCTGGCCAACGCCGTGCGCGCTACGAATCCACTCATGAAAAAACCCAGGGATATACCGGGGGAATTTTTTTAACGTGGAGTGAATGTACAAAGAGGCCGCAGAGCGGGCTCATGAAGTGTACACATAAGCATGTATGGGGCCAGCAGAGCGGGCACATGAAGTGTATAAGCATTACAGGAGAGCACAAGGGGCGAACCGGTTGTGAGGGACCTCCAGAAATGCAGCTTCTTAGAGAGCTGTTCGTCAGACAGCTAGTAATTTTGCCTGCAAGGCGGGAACTTCCAAGTTATAAAACCTGACAAAAGTGGACGGGGAGGCCCATCCCGCGGCCACACAAATGTCATGAACGGAAATTCCACAGGACCATGCCCACGATGAGGCCATGCCTCTAGTGGAGTGCGCCCTGATGCCCAGAGGGCAGGGCAGGCATTTAGATGCGTAAGCAGAGGCGATAGCGTCCACTATCCATCTAGACAGTGTCTGTTTTGAGGCGGCCAGACCCTTGGTGCGCCCCCCAAACGACACGAAAAGCTGCTCAGCGCGTCTGAACGCGGCAGCGCGCGTAGTGTACAATCTCAGAGCCCGCACCGGACAAAGGAGATTGGCATCGCGCTCACTATCGGATGAAGGCAGAGCCGATAGGGAGATAATCTGAGCCCTGAACGGGGTACCAATCGCCTTCGGGACATAGCCATGCCTAGGTTTGAGAATGACAATCGAATCATTCGGTCCAAACTCAAGA